CGTAAAATAGTAGAATATCATTAGATCTTTTAACCAATTTTAGTAAGTGCCATCAAATAAACGAAAATGTCTGTCCCTTAGCACCAGACACTAAGTCGTCCCTTAGCGCCGGACAGTAAACGTATTCATATTTCTTGTGAGAATTTACGTAATTTATTCTAATTATTTAATTTCTTTCTGTATGAGTGGTAACGGTCACAAAGAATGAAAAGCTTATTGTGAATGCACCAGCTGAGAGCATCAGTGTGGCCCAGCCAAAAGGGTGGATGAATAGTGACTTTTTTTGCAATATCTAAGAATATTCGTCAAAGACACATGTGCAGACATTCCAAAGTGTGGAGATGGCTACATATGTAAGCAGGTTATTTTGAAATGTCCGGTACTAGGTGCCACTGTTTAAAATCATATTTTTGATAGCAAAGTTTGATTGATAGTATTAATTATTTTTTAGCTAAGATTGCGGTTTTGTCAATTTAGTTTGATTTCTAGCATTGTTATCTAACATAAATCGTAATTTAATAAACATTTCGTAAAATATTTTTTGATTTATTTATAAATAACCTTAGGTGTCCGCCACTTGGGAACTTTCCCCTATTTTTTTTTAAATTACAAAAACACAATTTGCAATGATAGTATGTTTCATTGCCACTCGTGTCAGATCTAGTTTTAGTTTGGCATGGCCCCTAATTCGTGTACAGACTAATATCAATTGGCTTATGTCATCCAGTATAGTTTCAACAGCTAATGTAAGAATTAATTTTAATGATATGCAAACTATGAATAATCCTTTAATTACTATGTGCACAGACTCTCTGTCTACATTAAGGTATCGCCGACCTCTCTTCAGGGCGGTCTAACTGCATCAAACAGAGCGAGCAAACGAGACGTGAGCGTTTCGGGTAATAAATTCTGAAATGCAGTCTCCGGGAAGGAAATTTAAATTGTTTTCATTGCTAGATATACGTTTTCCCGAGAAGAATAATGACCAAAGACTTTTATTCCATTTGTCCCTGTGTTTTCATGGCTTTCTATATGCACGTTTCGTATTGATAACAATTAAAATACGCTTCTTCAAGCGCATTCGGATAAATAAATTGATAATAGAATACTGCGAAGACAGAGTATTTTTCATTTTATGAAAAATTTAGAAATAGGAATAGTATATATATAATATATATTATATATATATATATTGTTAGGGGTATCCATCCCTTTGTAATAATTATGAATAATATATGTTTTACTGATTCGCCTTCACAGTCTGGTATCAGCTTAATGCTTAGCAGCAGGAAGAACCTACATTTTGTTGGGTCCGTCGCTTGATGGGGCACAACAATATATACTCGTATATATATATATATATATATATATATATATATAAATTTATAATATATATATATATATATTAGGGTGGCCCTTAATATGGATGTTTTCGAATTTCCTTGCTCCAAGGATCTCAAATGCTTCCAAATTGATAAAAAACAATTCTCTGAAAGTTTTGGCTCTTAATATTAACTTTAAGATAGTCCGTACTCCAACCAAATTACCTAATACCTAATAGGTTTATTTTTCTAATTTCCAAGGATCAACTAGGTTTGACAACAATATCCTATGTATTCACAGTCTGGTATCAGCTTAATGCTTAGCAGCAGGAAGAACCTACATTTTGTTGGGTCCGTCGCTGGATGGGGCACAACAATATGTATATATATATTATATATATATATATATATATATATATATATATTAGGGTGGCCCTTAATATGGATGTTTTCGAATTTCCTTGCTCCAAGGGTCTCAAATGCTTCCAAATTGATAAAAAACAATTCTCTGAAAGTTTTGGCTCTTAATATTAACTTTAAGATAGTCCGTACTCCAACCAAATTACCTAATACCTAATAGGTTTTTTTTTCTAATTTTCAAGGATCAACTAGGTTTGACAACTATACTTAGTATCCAAATTAGTTCAAACGTTTTCTGAATCACTTTTCAATATCGTCACTCATTTGAAAGTGATATACCTTCACTGTTATACCATATTCAATATTCTGGTGGTTTCCCGCAACAGTATCAAATATTGAATTACCCATTGTGTGATTATTTGGAGAATTACCTTCATACACTAGAAGCTTTGATTATTTCTTAATACTATTATCAATGAAGCTGTAGTATCAGCATATCCTATACTGATACATCCAGAATGCAATATATGTTACCTCTGCTATTCATACTCGGCTCATCCATGGACATATATAATAAGGAGAACCGAGTATAAAGTGATATACGTCTGGGCAAATACAGAGGACAATTGTTACTATCTCTGATGTATTGTATTTGACTTAGGATAATATTTGTTGAGCTAAATCACGATTTACATTGCACTACATAACACGTACTCACTGCCCAAGAGAGATAAACTTTGCAAACTACACGAGCGGATTTACAACGATAAACTACCTCGGTTAAATTCGAATTTATTCCCATCAGTTTTACGATACATCAAACATTAAGGTATTTTATTTAAGTTTAAGTGTCTATATATTGGGTAGAGAAAGTATTTGCTTAAAAACCTAGCAGCAAAGTATTATATTTTTTCATGAAATATTTCTGATACTTTTGCATGCATAATCATGTATGAACATGACTCTCTCTAGGTACTAGCCCTAATCATTCCATTTTTAAATTTTATAAATTCTCATTTATAATTCTGTTCAATAATTTCACGAATCTACGATATTATTGTATGGACGCATTTCTGTAGTAGGTACTCATTGGAATTTATTATTTCATATATAATTACAATATAAATTATGGAATAAATTATTTCATGAATTCGCGTTTTTATCGATAGAGTAAAATTTTTCAATAGAGAAATATATACACTGAAAGATTCTTAACACAGAACGGCTAACAGAAATGTGTTACATCATTTTTATTTTGCGACATGTGGCACATGGCTCAGATATGATTTAGACGGAATTTTTACAACCATCGCACATACAGTAACATCCGGCCATTTTCCAACTATCTTTGGTTCACGGTTGACACATTTTTCTTTCCTGTACACAATGATACAAGGGAAGAAATCTATCTAAACTGGAAGCTAGTACACTTTGAAAAATATCAATAGATAATAAATATATTGATTCATAGGTATTTCAGATTTTAATTTAATTTTTTGTGTTACGTTGTTATGTAATATCTATGAACTTAGGAACTTATGAAACTATAAACTATAAACTATCTAGTTATTATGAGAAAGCTTCTAGTTGTTATTATAAAATATTATATTCTTTTTATACAAAATCAATTCGCGCCATATATTTGTATAAGGTATTAAAAAAGTTATTCGTATAAAATGAAAAAATAAACTTGAATGAAAAAAACATAATCAAATTCCTTTACGAATCTATGCTTTACGTTTGACAAAGTCTGGCACTTTGGTCTTCTACATAAAATCAGAAATCTTTTACCATAATACACAACATTCTTTGAATCTTACTTATGCTCAAGAAAGTTTCATGTAAAAATCGACCAAGAATCAACTGAGCCCAAACTGGTGAACGCAGGTGTTCCTCAAGGCAGTGTCTTAGGTCCATTTATTATACACAAGTGATTTTCCATTATGAATTCTACTTGTACTTTTTCCGATGATATCGCAATCTTAATCACTGATCTAGATCCCAAAGTAGCCTCACAGATACTGCATTGTCATCTTAACAAAATCGAGATCTAGTCCAAAATATAAAAAATAAAAATCAACAGACTTGCTTTGTTGCAAAACCCTCTGGAAAAGTTTGGTTACCATGTATAATTTGTACCCTTTAGGCTCATGCGGTATGTGCTGATGTCCCAAAAAGAACCCAAACAATTTATTTATAAGTTTTTTCTTAAACGTTAGTATCTCAGTATGTCCTTACCTTATATGACTAATTAATAATTTATCTTAAATATTTAATATATTATACTATTTTTAATTCAGATTGAGAATATCTAAAACGTTCAGTAATCTCATAAACTACCACCCCTAAATTAGTTCATTTTACAAAATACTTTCTTTATCAAATGACATCCAAACCTTTGTCTATTTCTACTGTGTATAAAACGTGTGCACAATGCAGTATTTTATTGAAATATATACACACTGATATACTGGATGCACACAGTCGCACATGTTTACTCCATGAAGGCACACAGCAACCGAGTATCGTTTTTCAATTACTTTTTCCTGGGAACTGTGAGCCTTTGTTATCGTTATGAAGCACAAAGGCGTGCACCGTCAAGAATGAAGAAATACCACCCACCGGTGTCTGTCGAAAACAAAAAGGCAATAACAAAAAACTAGAGCGATAGATTCGTTGTACGGAATTTTAATAGCAAAAACCCCATATATTAGGTTGTAACGTCTTGTTAGAGCAGTAGAAAAAATAGATTAATCATGTGAAGTAATTAAAAATGTTAGGTTTACTTTGTAGTGCTCATTTGTGGCGATCCGGCAATTTAGCAAATATATAGAGTAATCGTATCATTAATCTTCCGGAATTATGTGAACTTTACAAGTGTTGAGATTTTTGTATTATCATTATTTCAGCAGCAATCAGAACTATTCTCAATTTAACTAGTGGTCGTATTTTAATTTGTGATCGTTTTTTACGTTACCTCATTTTAGAGCGTCAGGTACAAATATTTGTAGCAATGCTTTGAATGGCTATTTTCGCTTTAAATCTATATTTTCAAGTTAAAATTTATATCACTACTGCTTGATTGCATTTGCAGTTGCAAAGCCAAAGTTCATGTATCCCTGCTACGAGCGACTCTAACGAATAATATGTTTCGTTCTGATCTTTAATAATAGTCAATATAAACGAATTTCTAAGTGTTATCTTATTTTTCATGAATAAAAAAGCAAATATTTTGTATCTAGAAGGTTAAAAAAAAATATTTTTTATCTAACGGTTAAAACTGTGATTCGTCAGATTTTTTATGAAGAATGTACTTACCGGTGGAGCGTTTATGTTTTGCAGCGCGGGTGTAGAATAAAAAAGCACTTAAAAAAAACACCGACGACAATGTTTCAGCTCTTCCTACCACACCAGTTACCTGCAAAGAAAGAAAATGCTATTATTATCAAAAATATGCCACTTTATTTTTAATTACTTTATATAACATATATTTAATCTAGGTCATTTTTCAAGTTTTTGCAAAAGTATATCACTATTACACAATCTATTTCTAATTACTTTATTTAAATTAAGTCATTCTAGCTTTCTACGATTCTTCACCACTTTGTATACTTGGCAAAGAAACCTTTTGCCAAGATTTTCTCAACTTCGGTCCATGGATATGACTAAAGTTAGGTCACGCTTGAATGTATTTCATCAGCAAAATCTTAGCTATTTGAAACTTCTACCTTCGTTCAGCTTCCAAGTTTTAAATTACAAAGCCAGACTTTTGCAGAACATGTGCGCTTTTCTTCAAATTCTTAACCAACTACAAATTCATCTCCAAATTTGGTACATTCATTAACGTTTCGTAAGGGTTCATATTTTAAGAGATACGGAGGAATAGATGCATGAATACATGAGCAACAAATTACTTTGTTGGAGAAACTAGTTCAAAGCTTTGAAATGATGTCTGACTATTTTAAGCAGAATTCAAACATAGCTCTAGCTATATTTTGAGCTTAGATGAAATATTTATATTTTCTTATTAACTGAAGAGACTAGGATAGATCCATTTACTAACTTTCCACAGAAATATAAAATTCGTTTTCTCAAGGTTTTAAATCATTCACTTGACGATCGGCCAAGCCGTCTCTTGTTAACAGCAAAATAGTGAAAAATTTTTGTCCTCGTTTTAACCTACAATCCTGAACCGATTTTACAAATTGAAAATCTGTTAGTTATGGTGAAGATCTTTCGAGTCGTTTCTTCATAATTAAACACTGAAGAATTGTTTTGACAATTTCAACGAATGTTTGTATGATGACGGACCTTATAGTCTGAAATAACATACTAAAATATTGAAGATTTTTGATAAACTTGAATTTGAAAATTAAATTATAAAAATTAACGAACATTTCTAATCTGAATCTTTGCTTTTTGTACATATATAGGTTCTGTGTTGCGTACGTAGCTACTGATTACAGTTGACGTCTACAATTAAATTAAATTAAATCAAATATATATATATATATATATATATATATATATGATTGATTTCTTGGAGGGCGTAACATCAAGTAAAAAAAAAGAGAGTGAAGTAAAGATTAATAATATTCTGGGCTGAAATTAGGACTTTTGCACTCTACGATCCAGTTCTCTGAATAACCACTGAAGATGACGTAGAATTTTACGTCGAAACGTATAGAAAAATAAAGATGTTTGGAAAAAAATCTTTACTTCACTCTCTTTTTTTTTTCTTTTTTTTTTACTTGATGTTACGCCCTCCAAGAAATCAATCATACATTTCAACATTAAATTTAAACATTTTCAACATATATATATATATATATATATAATATATATATATATATATTACCGATATTATAAGTATTTAAAATAATTGCATTTGGAAATCGCATTGATTAATTTTTAGTGAAAGCGAAATGAGTGATTTTAGTGATCATTTTCGTAATGATCATTTGAAAATTTTATCTAAATAGCTGTATCTAATTTTTTATGGATTAAGGTAAATTATATTTACGTTTCGAGAAGTTCATGCTACTAGTCTTAAGGCAAAATGCTACTTACAAAAAGTTTGTCATATATTTTTTTAATAACAGAAAAATACTTGGAAGTATGCATTTTTTAAAAAATCATTTCAATTGTCCGATTGTTTTTTTGTTATTGGCACAAACATCTAACTTATGCCTTGAAACTATCGTAATAATAACACAGGTTCACAAAAAGTAAAAGTTATTTGTATTTTGTCGTTTTCCAATTTTTCGATTTTATTTTCATCTTACACCTAATTTTGATTTTAGATTCGTGTTCAGCGGTGAAAACTACATTGAAAAACATATTCTGCATATAAATCTAGTATTTTTTGAATAATAATTAAAATCTTACAAATTCCGTCGTTTTTTTGGCCTTTTTTATCTTAAATGACTATTGAGTTTCAATTAAATGATCTATCTGAAACTTAGTAATATTAATAGATTACTTGAGGTAAAATGGGCCAAAAAACGACAAAAATTATAAGATTTTAAGTATCATATAGAAGCATTACCAGATTGGAGGTTTTGCCGTTTTTTTTTTGTCAATTTTCTGACATTTGATCCCCAATTTTGACTTTAAATTCGTGTTCAGTGGTAAAAATTACATTGTAAATCATATACCGCACACGGCACACCCAATACAGACAACTTTTTTGTGGACCTGTGTAATTAATCACGCATTTGTAATATTGAGCTAATAGGATTCTATAAGTGTTTTTGTTGTGTAAAATACACATGATACTATTTCCCAAATTACTGTTGCTTAAGTGTAACGCAAGACAATTTTCTCCTAAATGACCTCGCACTTCCATCGCATACAACTAGTTTTCTCCAGAAAACAACACGAATCTTCTAGAATAGAGATGCTTACTACAAGCATTTTGTTTTTCTTATATTTCCTTTCCAATTTTTTACGGAAACGGGCCACAAAACGAAATCTTTACACCGCACGCCGTCTTCCGCCGCTCGCAGCATTAGCAAATCGGTTGCCACCGCATTCCTGCCTTTATTTCCTTCCTGGTATGAGGACGGAAACGGACATCGTCCGCTTATTTGCTCCACCGTTTCGGAATTCGGTAATGGAACACAATCCGACGCAGCGATCCCGGCGATTAAGCACGGCACAGGAGCAAGCCCGCGGAGTAGATTGCTCGACAGTGGTTCGAACATCTTTGACATGCTTAGGAAAAGTCATTTGGTAGTTATAGACGATATACAACAGAAAAACGTCTCCATGTTCATTAAATGGATCACTATTGTCCGTGTATTTCATAAAAAGAAATATTACATATGTTAACATTAATTGGCATGTTCAACTAATTAGCTTTGGCCTGTATACTTTTGTCTATTATTGCAATTTCAAATTCGTTGTCTATATAATATATTACGAATGCATATTATGTCTATTATATCACTTTTACTTTGAGACAGGGAACGTGTCCTCCAATTTATATAAATAACGTTCAGATACCAAAACAAGACATAGTGGAATATCTTAGTCTTCATTTAGACAGCAAACTTACTTGAAAAAGTCACATAAAAATGAAGCAATAAATAATGTTCAAAATGAAGGAATTTAATTGACTAATGCGTAAAAAGTCTAAGCTCTCCGTTGAAAATAAATTGCTGCTATACAAAACAATCATTAAACCAATCTGGACCTACGGAATTGAGCTCTGGGGCTGTGCTTACAAATCGAATATAGCTATAATGCAGATGACACAGTCAACAATTCTACGCACAATACTTAATTCTCCGTGGTACGTGACAAATTATTCGTCACAATTGGATTTATGAGCTTTAATACTATTGACCTCTTGCCAGGATTACTAGCAGCAAATAATACCATATTCAAACGATCGATATAAAATAAAACACTCTCTCATGTAGGTTTAACTAGTAGATATAATAGATATAAACCAAGTACGCAACTAAGTAACATTATTATTACACCTGCAAATAAATGACCTCTTTAAATTCTGACAATTTCGTATTATGTAAAATTTAAAAAAAATATTAATCTTTAATTTTTTTTGTAAATTCTGCAAAATTTCGAAAATTTGAGTTTATTTGCTAACTAAAGCAAATCGGATTCAGTTCAGTATTAAGATTGTTCAATTTTGTTGTATAGTGCGTGTAAATTTTTGGACAATGGTTCGAACATCTTTGACATGCTTAGGTAGAAATTCCGGCAAAAGTCAGTTGGTAGTTATAGGGTATTAATAGATGATGTATAATAGTAAAAATATCATCATGTTCGTTAAATGGATCACTATTGTCCATGTATTTTTATCAAGAAATATTACATCTGTTCACAGTAATTGGCATGTGTAACTAATTAACTTTTGCGTTTTTACTTTCCGCTAATATTACTCAAGAATATTATTAGAATATGGACAGTTTGGATTAAAGTCATTATTTGTGCATTATGTGTGCATTTATCACAATTTGATGTGTAAATATGTTTGTGCAATATAAGTGAATATATTATGCGGATTGTTTTAAAAAATGTATGAATTATATAGAGATAACAGAATCTGATTAACCCTTTCGCTACGAGAGTGTTTTACGCAGGAGTGTCGCTGCTGTACGGAACAGCGTGCCCATTAGTAGGGCCACTGAACTGACAAGACACAACGATATATCAATAAAAATGTACTGAACAATTATAAATATTCTTGAAAATTAAAGAGACGGCACTTGTATACACAGGTAGCCGCATGGATGTCGTCCATGGACGGCACTTGTAGCGAAAGGGCTACGAGTTATGCTGATTGTTCTAAGTACAAATATAGTTACCAATCTTATCTTGAGTCGGCAAAATATTATCTAACACCACTTTTTGTACCAGTTCTCGTATCACATTAGAATATACATATTTAATATATTTTTTATGCAAACTTTCTGTATAGATTTTCTTGGATGGGTTCGATCAAATACGATTTTAGAAGAACCAACTAAGTTTCGTAATATTTCATTCCTCCATTCGACGTACCGGCGCCGCTTGACGCTTGTGACAAGCGATGGCCCATTTATTAAAACCGATCTTGTCCTTATAGCTTACCCGGAATTAATTTAAAAGGATAGTAAAAATTGAAATTAGGATGAGAAAATTATATAGAATTTTTAGATGTTTAGAGAAGAAGATTTGCTGTCTTTTTTGTTTCTATTGAATCCAAAATTTTGATTATTATTTGAATCAAAATTACTTTTGAATAATTTTCTTTTGTGAAGATGCGCTGTTCTATCAATAAAAATAATTGTCTAATAAAACAACTAAAAATAGAAATAGCTTTAACTAGTTATCTAGTTTTTGATTAATTTTTAATCATTGTTTTTGCATTCGTATTGATTACACAGATTCACAAAAAAGTTGTATGAC